TCTCTGTATCGTTCCAATTTTATCGGATGATCCCCGAAGGTAGGGATTTAGGGTTTGAGGGTTTTAGGCTTTAGGGCTTAGGGTTGTAGGGTTTAGGGTTTTCTTAGGGTTTTGGGGTTCAGGGGTTTAGGTTTAAGGGTTTCGGGGTTTAGGGGTTTAGGGGTTTTTTTGGTGTCTAGCGGTTTGTAGGTTTAGGGGTTTGGAGGTTTAGGGGTTTAGGGGTTCCGGGGTTTAGGGGTTCAGGGGGTTTAGGGGTTTAGGGGTTTAGGGGTTTAGGGGTTTTGGGTTCTGATCCGGAATCTATCTCGCAGACAATGAGCCCTAGTCTTGTGAAAGAAGGGGGCCTCGAGGCCTCGAGCCTAAAGCCTCTGGAGCTTTGGGGTCCTAGTCAGGTTTATCCATCAAAGACCTCTTTCCGCAAAAAGTGAAGTTGTTGAAAGAGAGTCCGACCCCGAAATGGGGGAGGAAAGTGCAGCCGCCACCTCAACCATTCCTCTACGATTTGCTTCAGAACCCAGGCACACCTTTCTCACAGACGGAAAAGGATGTTTCGCCAGCTACACATTGTATTTGGCAGACTTCCCTTTCTGAGTCTTTGAGGGTAGAGTGGGCTGGCATGGGAAACCATATTTCCCCCCCCCCCCCCCACATCCGCCCCAAACCCTAAAACCCTAAACCCTAACCCTAAACCCTAAACCCGGCCTTTCACCCGCAGATCCCGGGCATACTCGATGGAGCCTGCAGGCTTCTTGGCCTGCGGGTCAGCCACGCCCAGGGCTCAGTAGGGTTTGGGATTCATGGCTTCTAGGTTTTGTAGACCCCAAACCCTAAACCCTAGCCCTAAACCCTAAACCCTAAACCCTAAACCCTAAACCCTAAACCCTAAACCCTAAACCCGATCCCTTCCTAGGATTTTGGGGGGCTTGGGGTGCCGACCTCTGCCTCGCTTTTCCGGACATGCGCAAGCCAGAAGCCCAGCCGGCGGAGGGGGGACTCCCAGATGTACCTGGGAACCCACTTAGGAGGTTTAGGGTTTAGGGTTTAGGGTTTAGGGTTTAGGGTTTAGGGTTTTAGGGTTTAGGGTTTAGGGTTTAGGGTTTAGGGTTTAGGGTTTAGGGTTTAGGGTACTTACAACCCCAATGAAAACTGTACTTTAAAGCCCCTTAACTCCGGCTAGAAGTAAACCCAACAAATTGGAGATGTAAGTACCCATGAAGCTCCAAGCAGGGCCCTCAAATCCTCGAGGGCAGACCCTTCCCCAACGCTGGTTTTGTCACCCGCATAGCTGGACGAACCAAGAGCTCTGAGGTTTAGGGCCATTATAGGTTTTAGGTCGAGGGTTTAGGAATTCAGTGGCCCGTAAGACTGGAAGGATACACCTTGATGGACTGCCCGGTTCACACACCCCCGAACGGCCGCCCCCGAAGCATAGGATGTGGGGTTCAGAGGTGCGAGCTAAGGGTGGTACAGGAGGGACTCTGTTGAGGGATGCAAGATGGCTGGGAATAAGAGTATTATTAACCTGTACATGCGTCCTTCAATCACGGGTTCGTTTGTAGGCTTCGTTTGCTCTGTTCATGGGCGTTCTCTTCGTTTCACGCGTTTTCTCTTTTTGTTAAAAGTGCGAAGTAAGCGAATGAATGAGTTTATGAGTGAGTGAATGAACAAGCATATGAAGTGAATGCGAGAACGGAGTGGGAATATGATTATCAGTCAACACAGTCAATGCACAACCTTGTAAGCGCGCGAACGCAACACACAAATGGTTCTGTTCGTGAGCGCGTAATTATTAAGTATTACATCGTCTTGAAGGGCGCTCCCGCAATAATAATGTAATGCATCCAGGGTTACACGGATGTGTATATATATATATATATACACCCACATGAAAATCGTGGATTACCCGCGGAGGTAACATGACACTAACAAGACTCATACTGACAATAATCATCACAAAACCTACACACACACACACAGGTGTGTGCGTGTGTAGACCTTTTTGGGGGACTACTTAGGTATCCAAGGACAATTTTGTCCCCAAGCCCTAAACCTTAGTTGCCCAGTAACCTAGGATCACAACAAAAAAAAAAAAGGAATAGGGGCACTACTAGGCATCCTACCTCAACCTTGATGGGTTGCAGTCCAAGTAGAACCCCCACACGATGGACCTTAAACCCTAAACCCTGAACCCTAATCCCTAAAACCTAAACCCTCTAAACCCTAAACCCTAAACCCTCAACCCTAAACCCTAAACCCTGCACCGAATCCATCTCCAAGGCTTCCGCGACGGCGACAGCAGCTCCCAGCGAGACTTCGCGTGCTGGGCCTTTGAGGGAGACTCCGGAGGGTTTAGGGTTTAGGGTTTAGGGTTTAGGGTTAGGGTTTAGGGTTTAGGGTTTAGGGTTTAGGGTTCAGGGTTCAGGGTTCAGGGTTCAGGGTTCAGGGTTCAGGGTTCAGGGTTCAGGGTTCAGGGTTCAGGGTTTAGGGTTTAGGGTTTAGGGTTTAGGGTTTAGGGTTTAGGGTTTAGGGTTTTGGGTTTAGGGTTTAGGGTTTCGGGTTTCGGGTTTCGGGTTTAGGGTTTAGGGTTTAGGGTTTAGGCACGAACATCCCCTGCACCCGCACGCCCTCCCCCCAACACCAGAGTCCCTCAACACACGCCTGGTGCGATGCCTGCTCATGTAGGTCAGGCCGTCCGCCTCCGACATTGCCAGAGGACTTCTGGGTTCGGAAGGGTTTAGGGCTTCAGGGTTTGGAGTCTAGGGGCTCAGGGTTTAGAGTTTAAGTGGACTGTAGGGCTGAGTTGAAGCAAACTCAGCTCTAGCAGTTCGGGGTTGAGTGGCTTCTGGGCTCTTCTGGGGCGTAGATGAAACCCTCAACCCTAGTACCACACCCCAAGACATTTGGGGGGGGTTACGGAAACAGGGGACCCCCAATGTAGATCCCTAAATAGTCGGATCCCTTGTGAAAAAGACCCCAAGAAGGTACCCCTAATTTCGGAAACCCCCATCTCCGGTTCAGGGCCCAGTTCCAAATTCTTCAGGTAGGGGCCCGAAAGTAGATAGAACAGAATTAACTTCTACACGGCGGTCATGCCCTTCTGTGTGCCCCAACGTGAAAGTTAAAGCCTTACGGTTTAAAGGGGATCTACTTTTGGGATCCTTTCAGGGGTCTGACCCGAAAACCGAAACCCTAAACCCTATGATGGGTACATGTAAGGACCGACCATCAGACCCTTCTTGCATCTCAGCCTCTGGTCTGCTGGCCGGGCAACGGTCTGCACCCCACGCAGTAGCAGATTCACCGCTGGGACCCTGAAACCCTTTTTACAGGGTTTAGGGTTAAGGGTTTAGGGACCCTAAACCCTGGAAGCGGCCTAGCAATGAAAAGGAAGGCCCGTAATCATCTCAATCAGGGTTTAGGGTTTAGGGGCGAGGGTTTACAGTTTCCTTTTTCTCCCCTGCGCAGATAAATGGCGGCCGGCTCGCACACTTTTTGCTGTGGCAGTGTGGGAAGCTGGAAGGTCAAGTATGAAAATTATGCAAGAACTAGAACAGAACTTGAAAAATGTTTTCCCCATGCAATCTAACGAAATAGTGCAAATGCCATGTAAGTCTATACTACATATGATATATATATATACACACACATATACATGCTCCCCCCCCCCCCCGCCCTCATTGATCCACCGTTTTCGGCTTCAAACCTCTGAAAATACGCTTTGTGAATGGCGTTAGCCTAAATAATCTGAATGTCTTGTGTTGTTACCCACCAAACATCTTTTGGATGTCGCTGGCCTAGGTTGCAGCGGACACACATGTAACCTCTCAACACATGCTGTGTGAACGGCCCTAGCTAAAATAATCTGAGAGTATTGTGTTGTTACGCACAAAATCATTTTCAGACCTAGGCAATAGGGTTTTGTGTTCTGAGGATGTACAGGCTCTCCTAGGCGTCTCACTCTTTAGGATTTAGCGAAAAGGGCTTAGGGTTTAGTGAACCCGCTCTTAGGGTTTAGGGAATAGGATTTAGGGAGTGTCATTAGGAAGAATGAGATTTAGGGATCCCGCTCTTTAGGACTCAGCGACAAGATTTGCGTAATGCGGATAGCTTTTTTAGGATTTAGCGACAAGATTTGGGGGGGGGGGGGGGGGTAGTTTTTTCGGATGTACGGGCTGTCCTAGGGTCCTAGGGCCTCTTACTGGCCTCTTGATGGCGCATGTACATGGAATGACAGACGTTCAGCTTGGAAATTCAATGCTGGGCTCGGATCCAAGACGCAAGATTCAAGATGCCTGAAAAGATTTCCTGGGCATCTTGAATCTTGAGCCTTGGATCCTGCCCTAATATTGTACTTCAAGATTCCGTATTGAACTTTAATATTGGGTTGAGCTTCAATGCTCCAATGACGGGTTCGCAAGAGTGATTCAAGCCGAAAACGGTGGATCAATTGGCGGGGGGCGGGGTTCCATGTGTGTATAAATATTATCTATCAGTTCTTACAATATACTGTATTTATACTTGAAAATCTATACAGACAGCACATGATTGGAGGGGGGCGGGGGGGGAGGGGGGGGGGCGGGGGGGCGGGCGTGGGAAAAACGGAGTTTGGGGGTTTGGGGCCCTAAACCCTATAAACCCTAAACCGTGTAGGAGCCACCCGTCTCCTCACACTGGCCACGACTTCTGACAAGCTCTTGTCTAGGTTCCAGCTTTCGAGCATCAAGATGCCCAAAAAGGCGCCTCAATCCCGCCAATCCTTCCAAAACATCCTTTATTTCGAGGGAGCGCACAGACACGAAACCCAAGAGCAACAACAAAAGGGTGCCCTTTATTGGGTTGAAGGGGTTTACAAGAATTAGAAGGGACCCTAAACCCCTCTAAGTTCTGGGACATGTTTCTGCCCTCAACACCCGAAGCTCTCAAAGCCGGGACGCAGGCCTGAAGCGGGCCCCCGAAAGTCTGCAACACGGGTGAAACCTACACTCCCCATCGCCGGGCCCTCACTCACCAGGACCGACACTTTTCACGCCTGAGCTGCAACAGGTCTTCATCAAAGCAGGATTTGGGGTTTAGAGTTTTGGACCCTTTTTTACCAATTTACCTGCAGATTAGTACCTGCAGATTAGCAGTAAGTAGCCCCCCTATTTGGTAGGTATAACTCGTAATAATGTAGGTAGATAGGGTCCCAGGTAGGATTTGTTTAGGGTGAGAGCTCCGTGGTTGAAAGATCCATCCGTATCAATGTGCTTACATCACGTCCCCACAAACCCTAAACCCCGAACTCTAAACCCTAAACCCTAAACCCCAAACCCTAAACCCTAACCCTAAACCCCACAAATCAAGAGAAGGAGCCAAGTCCTTGCTTCTCGTCCTGGCAGTGCTTCCGCAAACGGCGGAACCGCTGCTGTGGAAAAGTCCAGGTCAGCTTCACCTGCTTCATTTGGATCGACTCTCACTCGCTCTCTCTTCTCTTCTCTCTTCTCTCTTCTCTCTTCTCTCTTCTCTCTTCTCTCTTCTCTCTTCTCTCTCCTCTCTCCTCTCTCCTCTCTCCTCTCTCCTCTCTCCTCTCTCCTCTCTCCTCTCTCCTCTCTCTCTCTCTCTCTCTCCCTCTGCTTGGACTCCACCTCTGATCCTGTCTCTGTCTTTCTATCTCTCTTTCATGGGGCAGGGGGAGGGTCGCACCAGGGGGCAAGCCTGCCCTGTTGCCCTGTCTCTCGCTCGTCGCTCGCAAATCTGCGAAGCGATGCGATTACTATAAATCTGCTGATCTAAACAGCATGAAAAGTTTAAATTGCGGGTTTACAGGGTTTACAGGGCGTATGGAGTTCATGGTTTAGGGGGGGGGGGGGGGGGCTTGTGAGGATTCTGGGACTAGAGCTCAGAACCTGCACTCTCCCCGCACCTCACTTGGACCAACCATTTCCACGGCCACCGTTTGCACCTCATCAGGTCGGGTTTCGGGGGCCCCGATCGAGTCCCTAAAGCCTAAACCCTAATAAGGGGGTTTACGAAAGTAGCCTAATATAGGCCCCAAATTGTAGGATTCCCATTTTTATTCGCAACCCGAAAAGGTTCCCCTAATTTCGGAAACACCCAGAATAAGTTTAGGCACTATGAGGCTTAAGGGCTTATGTTTGCTGCGGTTTCTTCGTTGGCGCGTGAGCGCAGAGGTTGAAAAAAAGAAAGCCGGACCCCGAATATGATGCTTGCTGGACCCACCCAAGTAGTCATGCCCTGCCTTGAGACTCACGAATTTGAAAAATTTGTGCCCCTGACTGCAGTCGATTGCCGACAAGGCGTTCTGTGACTTGCTGTCTTCCGGGCATGCGTACTTCCGCAAATCGGACACGGGCAAGGTCCACCGCTCGGAGCATGAGCTTGGCACAAACAGCCTCATCAACCTTCGAAGCCCTAACTAGGGGTCGGAATAACTACCAATGGTATTCCTTATGGCTATAGTTATACGATGATGACCCCCAGAACCTATTCTAATTATTGAGGCCCCTACAGTAAACCAATGCGCAACCCTAGCTAAACCGGCCTTCTCTCTGCGCGAGGGCTGGGGGAGCGCCTCAGCAAAATCCACAGGTCATGGGGCTGAATATGGGGTTTAGGGTTTAGGGTTCAGGGCTTAAGGCTCAGGGTTTAGGGTTTAGGGTTCAGGGGACATCTGAAGGGGGGGCTGTTGCTGTCTTAGCGTGTAGGCTAGGGTTTCGGATGCGGGCTCGGAGAGCCAATGTTATCCACATAATCACCACATGTGGTTTCTGTCAAGGATGGGTTTAGGGTTGAGGGTTCAGGGTACCCAAGATGGGACCGGAAAGCAAGAATGCAACAGCAACTCATCCGCCGGCGCCGGTGTTGCTGTGTATGCCGTGCTCCTGGCTCCTTCCGGTTTGGGAAGCCCATATCAAGTGCACTCAAATCCTTTGCCCTTATTGATTGTACTCCGTCACCCTTTTTACACGTGGACTTGTTGAATGCCAGCATTTCCATGCTGTGGCACCAGAACATACGAAAGGCTTAGGAATCTGCAAGGAACAAACTTTAAACCCTAAACCCTAAACCACCCGGACCTTTACAATGAGCCTCCATGAGTTCCACCATGCTCGTCTGCATGCCTTTCTTTGATGTCTTTTGCTCTTTTCCTCGTCATCTGCCACAACCCCCCCCCCCACCCCGAGTTTGCTGAGTACCCTGGGCCAAAAACAAGGGTAACCTTGCAATGATGATATGGTTAAAGGGCTTGGAGGTTCATGGTATTTATTAACCAGTTATATTAACGGTACTTATTATAACTGTACTTATCACTGTACTTATAACCATTTTAGGGCACTTAAGGGGTTCTAAGTGGGTTATAAGTACAGCTGTATTTGGTTCATACGTACCATGAACCTCCAAGTACCTACCCAGCGAATAAGCCGATGACAACTTTTCAATGCGGCTCGTCAGGGTGCGACAGCCAGGGTTAGGGTTTAGGGTTTAGGGTTTAGGGTTTAGGGTTTAGGGTTTAGGGTTTAGGGTTTAGGGTTTAGGGTTTAGGGTTTAGGGTTTAGGGTTTAGGGTTTAGGGTTTAGGGTTTAGGGTTTAGGGTTTAGGGTTTAGGGGCTCAACGATTCTCTCCATTCGTTGGGCAAGACCTTGAAGCATCCGGCTGCATGTGGCGCATGTGGGGCGGTGAAACGATGTAATGCAAGCACCTGCATGTTGGCACACTGTTCCGGGTTGTGATGTTTTCGCCTTTCTCCAAGCGTAAGCGCAAGCAAGAAGTCAGGCAGATTGGTCAGCTGCGTAAGAGTTACCTCTGTTACCCGAAACCCTTTTGCCACTGGACTTGGGGACTAGCCAGATCGGAGCCCCACCCTGAACCCTAAACCCTAAACCCTAAACCCTAAACCCTAAACGTATTAGCTGAGGGCCGGACTTGCAATACCCGAGATGGACACACAAACAGTCTCACACTCGTGACCCCAAACCCTAAACCCTAAACTCTCTGTAACCCTAAACCCTCCGTAACCCTAAACCCGAAACCCGAACCCCCTTTTTGAATCCAGACTCTTTACGCCAGCACGATAACAGTTGCCCCCCCAAACCCTAAACCCTAAACCCTAAACCCCAAACCCTAAACCCTCTGTAACCCTAGAGCCTGAATTCCCAAACCCTAAACCTAGTTGCTGAGTACCCCTGGGCCAAAAAGATTAACCTTTCAATCATGGTAGAGTGTATAGGTTTAGGGTTTAGGGTTTAGGGTTTAGGGTTTAGGGTTTAGGGTTTAGGGGTTAGGGGTTAGGGGTTTAGGGGTTTAGGGGTTTAGGGGTTTAGGGTTTAGGGTTTAGGGTTTGGGGTTTAGGGTTTAGGGTTTAGGGTTTGCTGTGATAGGGTATATACCCCAAAAGGTTAAAGGCTACCTACTAAGCTAATAATCCTTCACCCCACGTCCTGTTGGGGGCGAGAGTGTGTGGCTTCAAAGCTCGCACTGGGTCCGGGGCTAGTCTCCAGCGCACCGCCAGGTGCTTCGTCCTTTGCTCGGGCTTTTTTTTTGTAACCCTAGACGTGGTACCTGTCTTGGTTGCTGAGTTCATAAGCCCCCAACAAGAGTACACTTTCAGTTTTATAGGGGACTATTGTATCCCAAAAAGAGTAAAGTGTGCTCACTCAGCTACTAAGCTATCTATAGGAGGTTCTGTGCAAGATCTCTTGGTGAACCCTTTGGTTTAGAGTCAAAGAAACCAAAAACAACAACAGTAACAAAAAATAGTACTAATACTAATGCTAATACTAATACTAATAATACTACTTTACTAATGCCAATAATTATCGTACTACACTAAAATAAAAAAAAACAAATTCGAATCAAAAGCATAAGATTTAAAAAAAAAAAACACACACACACACACACTTGCAAACTGGGCCCAGCGTCTTTCGCTTGATGCGGCGCTCGGGCATGGATCCAGTTACCCCGGGTCTCTTTGGCTGGATTCGGCGCCCGGGGATAGCCCGGCCGGGTCTCTCCTTGGAGTGCTTTCCTCGGTCCTGAGTGGGTTTAGGGTTTAGGGTTTAGGGTTTCGGGTTTAGGGTTTAGGATTTAGGGTTTCGGGTCTAGGGTATTGCCACCCGTCGACGAGCAAGGGTTTAGGGTTTAGGGTCCTCCCCCTTTTTTTCACAACCCACCCAAAACAGGAACTTCATGGGCACAGTTGCGGCACATTAGGGGCTCCCAATGTTACAATGTGAAGTTCTGTAAGAGGTTCTGTGGAGCAGGTATCGCATCAGCGACAAGTTCAATCCAACGGCTTACATGCGGACACGAATTCTGAGTGCTGCACCATCGTCCGCCTGCTGACCTCAGCAACTTTCCAGCAAATCTGACTGAAAGCTGAACAGTGGCCAGCGCTCGTGGCAAGTGCCCCCAGAAGTGGGTGGCACACCGCAAGGACGAGTCTGCTGCGCGACGATGCGTGCACGCTACATTGGCAGCGTCAGAATGCCCATTGAAAGCCGCAGACCGGCCCCTGAACCAAAGCCCACCATAATCGCGCGATGCTTTTGTGTGGGGTGGGGGGGGGGGGGGGGTAATTCAAGTCTCTCAAAGTCTAGGGGCATACCCGAAACACTAGTTGAGACCCCAAACCCTAAACCCCTAAACCCCTGAACCCCTGAACCCCTAAACCCCTAAACCCCTAAACCCCTAAACTTAAACCCCTAAACCCCTAAACCCCTAAACCCCTAAACCCCCAAAACCCCTAAACCGCTAAACCGCTGAGCCCTAAACCCTAAACCCTAAGCGTTGCCCTAAACCCTAAACCCTAAACCCCAAACCCAAACCCTAAACCCTAAACCCTAAACCCTAAACCCTAAACCCTAAACCCTAAACCCTAAACCCTAAACCCTAGCTGCAGGATGCAGGCCTTCTCCTTGGCAACAGCAACCGCCCGAGGAGTTGGGGCAGCCACACCGGCATCGGCGGCAGCGGGAGGGACTGCCTCGCACGACATATAGGGGCCTGTGGAAGCATGATCCCCACGAGACATCACCGGAATTCACTATATCATCGGCGCTCATGCAGGCTCACAGTGCAAGCATGTGCTGGTGTAAAGCAGGACTTTGCAGGCGTAAAAACCATGTCTTGCAGAACTTTGCAAAGCAAGGATACGTCTTGCAGACTTTGCACAAGGAGCTATAAGCACAGCATGTAAAGAAGAACCATGTGCTTGGCTGGTCGTGTAAAAGGTGCCTTTCTCATTTCCGTGATGGTTTGAGCTGTGCCTATCGACTGGGCCATCGATCTTCAGGTTATGAGCTACCAAGCTTTGGGTGGCAGGCTGGAAGGAGAGTCGAATGGACCCGCTTATGGGGCGGTGAACGATCGTGCAGCTGATCAGTCTGGACCAGTGCTGAATGGATGGTTGCCAGGGCAAGCGAGAGGTGAAGCATCTGGACAAGAAGTTCAGCCTGGAGCCACGCCGGATCGGATCGCGGTTGGAGCCAACGAAGCCGGATCGGGTGCGCGTCACGACGGGAACATACAGGAACACCGTACACGTGCACAGGACAACATGCTGCAGCAGCACACAGAACAACAACTGCAGCAGCCCTTCCAGGTTCCCCACCAAGACCCTGCTTTGACTCCGCAGCAGCAAGCTCAGAATGTACTTCGGCTACCAGAACAACTGCATCCTGCGAGGCCCTTAGATGACGGAGAGGTTCGGGAACATTCTGTGATGGAGACCACCCAGGGTGTCTCAATGCAGGTGATGGCCACGACGAACATCTCTCCACCAGAAGAACTGCCTCAGCGACAAGAAGGAATGAACGCAGGGCAAGCAGTTTGGATGGTGCGACTTGGAGAGTTTCTGCAGCGCCGTGTATCTCAGGCGGCCGCAGCGGTGGCACCTGTTCTGGAAAGACAGCAAAGGACCCCTCGTGCTTTTCCATCGCCGCCAGCAAGCTGGGCTTCACAGATGGGCCCGGAGCCCCCTCTCTTCACACCAGAGGCGGAAAGTGCGATGCAGCAGTGGACACAAAGGGCACCGCTGTTGTATGGATGGGGTGGTCAGCAAGGGCCACCGATGCCGAGGGAGGCTACATCTTCGTCTGGCTCTTTGACTCAGGAGCAGATCTTGGCCGAAGTGCATCGTCAAGTGCAAAGAGCAATGCAAGGACACCAGCAAGAGATGAGAGCATTGGAAGCCGAAAATGCCAGACTTCGAGCAGAAGTCCAAGAGCAAGGCCGGATGAGTGTGGAGCCAACCCTTCAGCCAGACCTACGAGGAGGCAATCCCCCTGGGTGCCCTAAGCGCCACTTGGAGGTTAAGGGTACTTACCAACCAATATTAAATGTACTTCTAACTGTACTTATGACTGTACTTATTACTGTACTTATGTACCTGTACTTATAAATGTACTTGTAACCATATTAAGGCACTTCAGGGGCTTTTCAGTGGGTTTATCATTAGTTAAGAAGTACCATGAACCTCCAAGTAGACGCCCTGAGCCAACATGCCAAAAGGATCTGTTGCGCTCTTGCCCGGCGCCGCTCCTCCTCTAGCAGAGGATTTCTCATCTCCCCCACCACTCGATCCTGCAGCTTCCCCAGAACTCACATTCTGTACTCCTTGACCTCCAAGAAGATTGCTTCCAGAAACTCCATGTCCCGGTTGACCTGAAGCAGGATCACCCCCGTGTACGTTGGAAGGTTCACGGTAACCTTGCTCATTCACACCCCGGCTTCCAAAGCTGTTCCTTGTAAGCCCCGGAGGCCCCGACAAGCTTCCAGAGCCTTGACCATCTTCGCCATCTTCTACTCGCACCACACGAGCATCCCGTGGAGGTCCTCGCAGGTCTTGTCCGTGCAGCATCTCAGCCGATGCTCCACCTCCAGGACATCGCTCAACTCCAGAAGGCAATGAGTGCCACGATCGCGATCAAGGCCCAAGAGCAGGAGCAAGTGAAGCCGGGGATCTCAGAGTTGCCGAAGCTACCGGAACTGTCGGAGACATCCTGCATTGATGTGGGAGATTGGCTACATTCCCTAGAGTGCCCCATGGGTGACTTGAGCAATGGCTCTGCGGTTTGGTGGAGCGAGACCCTTCAGTGTTTGGATCGTTTCTATGAGAGCTACCTGAAGAGCTCGAATTTGGCGAAGCTTTCGTTGAAGCCGGAGACTTTTGCCACGATCATGCTGAAGGAGGACAAGTGGGGCAGGGTAGACAAGAGGGCAACATCGATGATACTCGCGGCCTTGCCTGAGTCTGTGAAGGCCGAGGTGCTGGCGTCAAGACTCACCGGCACATTGCCGGTATTGGGAAGGGTCATGGTCTTGTATAGACCTGGAAGTGCTGCAGAAAGGCAGCAGATCTTGAAGGCTTTGGAGTCCCCCTCAACGGCGACATCGGCGACGGAGGCTGTGGATCAGCTGAGGAGATGGTCACGATGGCTACGCAGGGCAGGGGACATTGGACTTCAGAGGCCGGACGCAAGCGTTCTTCTCCGAGGGCTGGACAACATATCCCGGAAGGTCCTCCTTGAGCATGGGGAGATCATGTTTCGTATAAACATGATGAGGTACACTTTGGAGGTGGATGTGAAACCGACTCAGGAGTCTGTCCAGGACTTGCACCAGGCGCTGTTGTCCGAGTTTGAGCAAGTGGCTTTTCGTGGAAGAACCAAAGGGGCAACAACGACGGCTAGTATGAGAGCTATGACTGCATCCTCTACCACGGGTACCCCTCCTGGAACTGAGGCTGCTGGCAACCCAGGCGAATCTTCGCCTAGCAAGTCCAAGGGACCACCATGCAAGTTCTTCCTCACAGATCAGGGATGCAGACGAGGAGCCGCATGCAAATTCAACCATGAGGTCGAGAAGAAGCTTCGTCAAGGGCGGTGCTGGACTTGCGGTAGCAAGCAACATGTTGCCAAGGCTTGCCCAACGAAAGACAAGGGGTCACCGTCGAAGGCCCAAGCCAAAACGGGACCAATGAAGCCAGAGACTGCAACTTCAGCGAGTGCTTCATTAGCTGCCATAGCGCCTGAAAGTGCTCACCCCGCACCGCCAACGACACCAAAGGCCTCGTCTCCAATGCCTGGAACGCCCTCAGCCTCGTCCTCGACCGTGGATCTTCCTCAGGGACAATCTTCGTCTACTGCTTCTGCGTCGGGGGACTTACGAGATCTACTACAAGAGGCGAACACCATGCTGAAGGAGATGAGGCACCTGAAGTTGTTGACGGTAAAGGATGTGATGGCACAAGCAAGATCGCTCGGCTGTCAAGACGAAGAAGGTCGCACTGGTCTTTTGGATTCGGGGGCCTCCCATCCATACAGGGAAGGCACTGTGGAAGAAGTAAGGGAGTCAACAAGCGTCAAGGTGCAGTTGGCAAATGGCGAGGAGGTCACCTTGGCACAGAATCGAGCGGGAACCCTTTTGGCGACGAGGAGCTCACCGAACGATAGAACAGCGCCAATAGTCCCTCTTGGCTCCCTCGTCCAGGACCTGAACTGCGAGCTGACTTGGGGACGGAAGAGAGGTTTGGAGATTCGCCACCCGATCCACGGGACGATTCGGCCGGTTGTGGTGGATAAGTGTCCTGTCATTGGCGAGACCCAGGCTCTGGACCTCATAAAGGAGCTAAAAGCGAAGAGAGTGGAGGAACTAAGGGAGAACACAAGGGCGACTCAGAAGGCGTTGTGGCTTTGGGATGAAACAGCGAGGTGGGCAAGGCATCTTGAAGTTTTCCTCCAGGACGGAACAAGGGCAAGGCAGCTGTTGGCAATGGAGACGGATGACTCACCTTTCAAGGACTTAGAAGCATCTACAAAGGCGGCCATGGCGGAGGAGCTCGCTTTGGATGATCGAGCAGGTTGGAACTACCTGAAGCCTCTTCCAGTATCGCGAAGGAAGAGGAAGCAGCTGATGAGGTGCCAGTGGGTCGTCAATTTGTTCGCTGGACCAGGTCCTGACACGGCAGAGTTCAAGAACATAGATGGCGACAGCGTGCTAGTGGAAATGGATATCACTAGATCCAGAGCTTTTGACATGAGAAAGTCGTCAGGAGCCTACCGGGCACTGCTTTGGGCGGCGGCTACTGGAAGGGTCAAGGGAGTGTTGTCGTCGCCGCCGATGAGATCCAAGACTGATGAGGAGCTGGTGGCAAAGGCCATGTGGTTCTCTTTGATTGCAAAGGCAGCCAGAGCGACCTTGGACCGACCACCACCCTTTGTGCTGATTGAGGGCAAGAAGGTTTTAGCCTACATGCAGACGGATCCTCAAGCAGGCTTGAAGTTGTCGTGGAAGTCCTTTGTTGAGGTCATGTGTTTGGAGAACCAAGGGGAAAGCATCGTGACGAACCTCGACTATGACAAGGAGCTGAAAACTGTAACGAATGGAGGTGGCCGGTGGACGATGTCGTTCAAGGAGGAGACGGCGGAAGCGATGAAAAGGTGGGACAAGGTGCCAGAGTCAAGACAAGTGAGGGTCTGGATGGCGAAGATGGATAAGGTTCGGGAGAAATCCTTTTTGGAGTCGCTCTCGGATAAGGAGTTGGCGCAATGGAAGGTTCATGTGAGGAACAACCACATACCCTACAACAGGAAGTGCAAGGCGTGTGTGGAATCGAGTGCGACTGGAAGGAAGCACGTGAGAATCAAATCGCCGTCCGCATACTGCCTGAGTCTTGATATTTGTGGACCTTTCCGTGCCCGTGGAAGTGATCCAGACCATAGAGATTATCGCTATGCCCTAGTTGGAGCGTATGTGATCCCGAGGATAGTGGAGCCTAGCAACGAAGTTCCACACGAAGAAGGTCCTCCTAGCAACGAAGTTCCACACGAAGAAGGTCCTCCTAGCAACGAAGTTCCACACGAAGAAGGTCCTCCTAGCAACGAAGTTCCACACGAAGAAGGTCCTCCTAGCCACGAAGTTCCACACGAAGAAGGTCCTCCTATCCACGAAGTTCCACACGAAGAAGGTCCTCCTATCCACGAA